AAATTAGATTTCACTATTTTCACCATTCAGTATTTGCTGTACTAAGATATTCTCTCTATCAAAACATTTTGAGTGTAATGCCATAAATAGAAGGAAGCACAGGGATACAATGAGTGGGATAGTAACTTCCTGAAGGACATTCCTCAACTCTTAAACTCCTCAATTAAAACACTGGCTGCAAATGAAATGGACCTGTCTATGCAGTCCATAGCAGATTTCACTAATTTACTGTGCTTAAATGTGTTCTCCAGGAAGACTCAAAAACATCAGTTAGCAAATATATGGTCTCCTGTTCATTAAACAGAGCATATCAGCTCAAACAGGGTATGGCCACACTCAGCTCTTCCTTCTTTCAGTAGGCAAAAAACAAACAGCGAATGCTTATGAGTCCTGCTAAAGCGCTAGATAATAGCCTGGAACGAAGCCAGGCTGTGAAACCACAGCTTCATCTGCTCTGCTGAGGGCTTCTGCGGTCCCTTGGGTCAGAACCCGACATGGGGCTGCAAGCCCAACAAAATTTCCACTGGAGAAATGGCTTTGCAGGGAAGATTCAGGCATTTTTCCCAATTAATCTTTGTCTTCTAAAAGGCCTGCTTCCTTGTCTCAACAGTTACATTAGTGTGGTCAGGGGCACATATTTGGAAGGGGATCCAACCCTTACAACTTTCACTAATGTCTGCTAAGTCTTAATTGAGGTGTCTTTTAAGAAACATTGCATGATACAACTGTTCCATCTTACTTCTATCTGTGGCAGATTTTTTGCAAATATGACAGCTGTATTGAGCTTCAACATCAAGCAGCTTACTGTGTGTGTTCATGTTTTGTTATTGATATGTGCATTACAAACCAGCTCTCCATCTTCCCCAAGATTTTTAGGTTTATGATGGTAAGAAAATAGACAAGGCTTCAAATATTAATTTTTGTAGTCAGGTGAGGAAAGGAGCTACTTATGAAGTAATACCTCAGAGCTACTCTGACTTTTTGATATGCTCTGTGGCTCTGATCAACTTCAGCAACTATTACAGCACAACCCTCAATGTTTATATGAGTTTCTCTGCAACAAAGTCTATGCAAGAAGCTTTCAAAAGCAGAGAGGCACTGCTGCCCTACAGCCCAAGGACAGCAATAAGCATCAGAAAAGCAACTTGTATTATGGAAAATTTTGCCATATTTTACAGAATTTATTAGATCAGGTAAAAGACAAACCTTCAAGTGGTGGTTATTTTGAACAACTGTGCAACTGAACAGATTCTTCAAAGAGCTTATGCTTCCTGCCAAAAGAAAAGCTCAGCTTTCTGAGCTATCAGCTCTTACTATGCATTAGTTCTTTGAAGAGTGGAGAACAGCACGGAACAACAGACACCACAAGCAACAAAAAAGCATCAGTAGGGAGGGTGCAAGAAGAGATAAGGCATTAATCAGGTCTTTCTTACCCAAATCTCTGAAAACTGCTAACACTACAGGGATTTTATAGAGATCACGCATTACACACCAGACAGCCAACATGAAATAAATAATGAATCACACTGACATAACACAAAGCACATTCTAGATATAAAACAGTCTGATCAGTATTAAATCATGCTACTGATGAATAGTGACTTTAACCACCCACGAACTGCAATCTTCTTTCAGAAATATACTGCTTGGATCGTTTCATTGTTGTTAGGAAACACATAAAAGCTAATGAGGAAACCTCTGAAGCCCAGACACTCAACATAGAGCAACCAAGGCCCTGAAAATCCAACATCTATCATTTCAGTAATCACCCCAGGACCATTAAGTTTTGTCTTTTTTTTGCCTCACGTCCTGCAATGCCATTTTGAGAAATACATCTACCTTGGTTACCTGGGGGGAGGTGGGGGTGCAGGGAGGTTATCTCTGTTTAGGTTTTGTTTGGGGGTTTGGTTTTTTGGGGGGAGAGGCAGGGAAAAGGTGGGGAGGGGAGGAGGGGAGCATTACTTGATTTGAACAACTCATTGGTAAGTCAGCTTTGGAAGCAGGTTTTTAGGGTTTTTTGCCTTTTTACTCTGCCCTTGGCTGGTGAGCAAATGATTTGTCACTGCTGAAAGAAATTGCTATACATGTAAGCGCTGATCAAAGCATCAGAAGCAGCTCTGACCCTAAAGATTAATTGAACACTGAAAAGAGGCTCTAAGACACTCAGCACACAAGAGATATGCAGAGGGAAAGCTGACAGGAGCAGGGAATACAGTGACAGGTACTGATGAATATTAATCTCTGCTGAACACAGCTACGAAAAAAACCCAGCAACACAAACCGTCAAGGGCTCAACCCAAACTAGAGGAACCCATTCTTTTATTGACTCTTCCATCATTTCTCTGCAGGATTAGTCAGTACTTGCTAGATTCGATCTGATCTGTTTCAGTCACAAGTTCATCAGTAAACAGACCCAGCCACCTACAAATGTGATGTTTATACTAATATTTTAGAAACAATAGTACAAACATTTTAAAGAAAAAATTGACAGATGCAACACAGAGTGGTACTGATAGCTTCCAACTTGGCAAGTAAACCAAAAAGACACTCTTATTCATTCAAAACCAGGGTTTTAACATTTTCAGTTACTGAAAGAAGGTGCAAGGATCACATATCTGCCAGAATCCCTTATTCCCTTGTCCCCCAAAGATATCCTAGTTCCAAGCAAACCCCATCATTGCCCACCTATCTAAAGCACTCAGCCCTCTAGGATGGAACTAGTTGCCATAAAACCACTTGCAGATTTCAGACTACTGAGTGCTCCATTACTCTGACTG